ATATTAAAATTCACCGTATAACTATTAACCTACGCATTTTAAAATAAAACTCAAAAAATTATAATTAAATTTGCTTTAAATTTAATCCTTAAATACAGTTTTGTATGAAATTACAAAAACAACTACCTTGTATGAAAAATTCATTTTATATTCTCGGTTTTAAAAATATTCGGCAGGCGAGTGTGACTTACATTTTATTTTCAAAAATAAGAGTTATTTTTTATTTTTATATTTATAAGGCAAAAATAATAGTTATTTGTGCATTTTAAAATAAAAAATAAAATAAGCATGTAAGAGTTATTTTTGATGAATATAATATAAAGCGTTAAACTTGGCCTATTTTGTGGTATCTCCGGTAATACGTGTTTACAAGCTCTCGAAGAAAGGACACTAGAACACCTGATGTGTCTATTTCCAGGTTTGGCCAGATCTCTTGTATTAGCATTGACCAGATTCTTGTCTTTATAAATGTCTCTGGCTGGTTCTAGCTCAACCTTCTCTCTACTACACACTATTACGAGGTTTATATAAACGAGTATAAAAAGTTTTTCAAGTTACGTTTTTAACATTTTTTTGATGTTAAGAGCTAGATGAAGGGTCATATCTCTTTGCAACACTTAAAATATTGCAATATTCTGTTCCAATGCTACCACGAAGCATGCCTGAGCTCTTGAAAGACAAAGCGTTAGTATGATTAACCGACGGAATTGGACAACTTAATTATAACTAAAACTCTTTTTTCTTCAACTACGTAAAATTGTAATATATAAATAAATAAAATACAAAATAAAAATAAAATTTTAATTAACATTAAAATATTCTATACAGAGGTTTTCGAACAGTAGTGAACTACAACAACAAAAATTCATTTTATACTATTTTAATTAATTCAATTTTTGACTGACCATACAGCTGTTTCGAGTATTACTAAATACCCATTATCAGTGGTCTTGGAAAAAATTCTTGTATTTAATTATTCGTAAATAATTTTTGGAGACAACAAGTACCAGGGTTTGAACTCGTGCCCTGCCAAATTTGATACTTAGAGTCAGCGTTCATTAAGCAACTGACCTAAAGTCGTATTTGACTTTATTAGGTCATTATGTTCGCACATAATTCTTGTAAATACCCATGGACAACTGTGAGCTATCTCAGCTATCAATGACCGTGACAAGTGATTTGTTTAAAGAATTTTATTAATTTGCTAATATTTGGCAATCTCAAAATATCTTAATGAATACTGATATTCAACGCTGATAATATCCTGATTAATCATTGTATCTAGCAGCAAATAATATATAGTTTGCAAGGTAACAGTGAATATTATTCGCTGCTATTTGAAAAGGCTTAGGGCAGTTTCTTTTCATTCTAGCTATTGCATGCATTCATGTCGATCTCTGGTGTAGGGGCATAGCTAATATCGACTACAAACCAAACCTTCCAAAAATCTTCCTCACTTGCCGAATACAGACCGAATATAAATTTTATATGAGCTCGAGCATAATTTTGATGACCAGTAAACCCTAATTATAAAGCACTTCAGCTTTTTTTGTGTTTAATTAAATATTTTGTTTAAATAAATATTTAAATATTTGCTCAGTTAATAACAGCACACTTTACATTAAACTATGATATTGTCGCAAAAGACAAAAACAAAACGATTCCCCTGGTATCCCATGAAAAAAAACAACATCAGGTTTGTTTTGGTGAAAATCGGCTTCCGAAATCGTTTCACCAGATTGATATTTTACATTTAGCATTATTACTGATAATTTTAGAAATAGATCATTATATTCACGTTTCACAAATAAATGACTAACTTCTATGCTCCCAAGTAAATTATGTTTTCTAAGAACGTGTTAAATCTATATCGAGTTTTAAATTAAACCAAGGTATTTCAAGGAATTACATTAGAAGTCGGCTATGTAAAAAGAGAATATTGGTAAAGTTGACTTCAGCAATAAACTGATAAGTCGATTAATTGGATTGTTTTTCTCGGAAAAAAAATTAAACTAATATAAAAATACAGTAAATAAAAAACCCAATATCCTTCCATAAAACTAATTCTTAAGATAAATAATACTGATATAACATATATATATATTATTTTTAAAAAAATATGAATTTAAACATCTTATAACTTTTAAATAAGGAATAACCTTCCACCATTGTCATTATCTTTAATATGTATATGTCTATAATTTCTAGATTTTTTTAAGAAAAAAATTGCAAATTTAAAAGAAATTATTTTTGTATTTATTATTTTCAAATTTATCATTTTAAAAATTAAGATTTGAAAAAATGTATATAAAAACTTGTAATGATCACTTATAAATTTGTGTAAATAAAAAATAAAAATATCAAACATTACTTTTCTTATCGTTAATTTGAGAAGCAGCGTTTCTAATTCCAATCCCTAATTAAATGATTCAATGCGAACATTAATTTTATGATAATTATCGCATATTATTAACTCTGAGAACAAATATCAAAACTTGAAACGCTTGACTGGGAGAAATTGTAGAAAAAAACCCACTAATTTTTAAGATCTGGAATTCCCCACAACCCACTACGTCACATACATTGTCCCGAGCCCTGCCCCCAACGCTCTCATCCATTTAGAATTTTAATTTGCTGCTGGACTGGACAACTTTGATTCATTCAACTAATCTGGGTTTTTCCATTTTTGATTTTTTTCACACTCAAACCCGAGAAAAAAATTAACATTCGTAGTAAAGTAGCAGAAAGTAGCAGCTGCTCAGGCAGAAATTTATATATAAAATATAGATAACCGCAAATTATTACTTTACCTCTGATGAAAAAAAAAATTAAAAAAAAATTAAAAAAAATTTGAGAAGTAAAAAAAAAATGTATGTAATACAACACAATTATTTATAATTTCAAACGACTGTTAAACGTGTTTTACTACTTGCAGTTCTAATGATGTGAGGGCTACAACTCAGAGAGTTTTTGAATATAAGAAAGTGCCACAGAAGTTAAGTACTGTTAAATCACTTCAGTCCTAAAGTCGCTGTTATCGCTTGAACTCAACATTAGATAGGTCCAGAAATGATGCTTGGCAATATGAAACATTAATTCGTGTTATCATTTTAAATGAAAATAAAAAATATATATTTTGACAATAATAATAAATATTTAAATTAAAGCAAACATATATATAATATATGTGGTAGGCAACATAAATTGAGCTTGCTTAGAGGCTTCAGCGTTAGTTAGTGTCGAAGAGCAAACAAGAAGAATGAACTCAAGAAATTTTCATATTAATTTTGCACTTAATTTCTGACTGAAATTTTGAAATTAATTAGAAATTGTGAACCTAAAAATAATATAAACAAAGACACTTGGGAAAGTACCCATGCAATATCGGATTACTATAGCTCAGTTCGAAACAAAATATATTAAAAACGTGAAAATAAACATTGTTGGGAAGATATTTTTATGGAATTGTCTGATATAAATATGACTAAGTGCCTTCAATAAAAATAAAATTAATAAAAATATATCAAAAATGCTAACAACTACAAAAAAATAATAATATACTAAACTAACAATAATTAAACATACTTCAAAGTATTAAAAAGTCAGCCAATTAAATAGACAATCACTTGAAAGCATTCAAATTTAATATCTCATAATACACAAGTATTAAATAATAATATATTTATATGTGGACCTAACACTCGCCAATAAATCGGAATTTACAGTGCATGTCAAGTGTTTAGTGGCATAAAGTTTTTAACTGAACAAAGCTTAACGTTAGCAACTTTAAGACTTAAAATATTCAAAAATTCTTTCAGTATTGTTTAATATAAAATTTAAACATATATGAAACATAATTATAAATTGAATTTAAACTATTAATGCTTTAATAGTGAAGACATAATGGTAAAAAAACGTTCTGTACACATTAACCATATAGTGGAGATCCCGAGGGATCCTTATTATATACCAAATTACAGCTTAGGTAAGAAGTTCTTCAAAAAAAAAAAAAACTTATTTAATAAATTAATAATAAATAAAATAATATATGAGAAAAAAATACGTAGAAGTTCTATATATAAAATCTAGACCTTCTAAACATCAAAAGATTTTTGAACATTTTCTTTTCTCCACAATTTCCTAGCTGACCAATATAAAAAGTTTGTTTTTATTTTTTACTAAATAATAATATGATATATTTTATTGTTTACTAATATATTATTATATTGTATATTAGCAGTTACAATACTTTTTAAAACAAATTGGATCACATAAAAAAGTGACGTAAGAATACGTCTGACATAAAATGTTAAAATGTTTAACAGAAGTAAATTTAATAAACTTTTCTCATTTTCAATTATTTAAATTGAATTAATTAAAAATCAAACAACAAAAAAAAACGAAAACGATTAAGAAAATTGTAATTATAAATTAATTTATTGCAAAAATATTTAAAAAAATTTCAATAAGTCTTATCAGTAATATCTCTCTCTCATTGCCTTTCATACAAAATCTTTCATTTAAACAAATCGAAGGTCCAAGAAAAAAATTTAATTATTTAAGCAATTAAGCAATTAACAATAAAACCAACAATAAAAGAAAGCAAAGCAAATTATAATAAAAAAATTGGTGCTATAAGTCAATCATTCGCCGGGTTAATTACGGCCCTAAAAATAAAATTCGAACATTTTCTGTCCATTTACCAACCCACAAAAGAGAACACTAAATCCAAAAGTCTTAGCCACAATGAAGGCAAAAAAATTAATGAAAATAGTTTTACGTAAATTTCGTTATAAACAATCGACATACGAGTAAGTTAAAATGTATTTTAAACAAAAATAATTTCAAAATTATTTTAAAATAATTTTAAAATAATTTCCTAAAATAAATATTAAATGAAGAAAAACTGAAAAACTGAAAAACTGAATTCTGATGACGTCGGACTTCGCATCTGGCACCGAAGAAACCGCAATTTTTGAAGACGAAATTCCTTTCAATTACAAAAGTTGAATTGAATCCGAAATGGTCGCAATTAGCTCAGTTACCAGCCGATAAATACACTTGGATCGTATAAACATCTTAAGTACTTCTTGCTTTAGCTGTTCGAGGTCTGCTGCGCATATACTTACTCTATCAGTGACAGACCAGTGACAGACGCTCTTAGAACACTTATAATGTATGTCATTTCTGTTATACTGTGAATGAAAAATATTCCTACAAAGTCAATATTCCTAGACATAGGTGTAAGACTAGTTTCTCTGATTCTAGTTATAATCGGGGGAACTAGTCAATTTAATTAACTTTTCACTAAGATTAGACAATCTTTAGGAAAGTTGTAAATTTAATTAAACTAATAAAAGCATAAATTTTATCTTCGTTATTCCTCCCAAATATCTAAACAATCGATTTTGCAATAGTTTTCCTTACAAAAAAACTATCGAAAAACTATTAAAACCTTGAGAACCAGAACGGGAAAACTATTATATTCGAGTTTCCTTATAAATATTTCAAATATATGATAGGTTCCCGTATAAGAAAACTATAGTAATGCGTTAGTCACACTACAATGTTATATAGGATAGAAAGTCTTTCATAATCAATAATCATAATCAATAATCAAAAGGCATTGTTGTGGAACTGCCTTCTAGTCTCAAAGATGATACAACATAAAAATTCAACTAATATATATAAAAACAGAAATAATTAATAAGCGTAAGTAATCTATTTTTACTACTATCTGCGTTTAGCTATACACATTACTATTTGTTAAGATCATCTTTTAAAATAGGATCAGACTCGCATGTCCGACATATTCTCAGCTTAGTGTACTTCACACTGATTGAATGGATAATAGCAAATGTGTTAAATGTTTATACTTAGCTCTATGTTTAAGTTTAAGGCCGAGTGACGTACTCCACATAGGCTATGTATATATCTGTGCCACTGCCTTATGGCTGTTGTTTTTATATATGTTTTTAAGATACGTGTATACTGTCTTGATTAAAGAAGTTCTGTTATTTATTTTCACTTAGAATGTTTGAGGCTTTCAATATGAGGCTTTTTCAGTTCTTCTAAGTTCTCGAAAAAAGTATTTATAAGAATTATACAGCAGCTTTCCTTAAGATTATGTCCGTACAATAGGTGGAAACTTGTTAGGCATACTTAGTTATTAGAAAGGATATAAAGGTTATAAAGGATATAATCTTGTGAATGTATTATAGAAGAGTGCAGTGTTAATTTCTGGCATTAATGGCTCGTTATGTCACCTAATTTGTGTTTTTCTCATGAAAGAGCCCTATATTCAGATAGCAGGTTCTGCAATGAAGTATATTATAGAATGTGGAGATTAATGCTGCTTGGATATGTGTGAAGCATCTAATATCTTATGTGTGATATACCTAATATAATCATGTTCTAGTAAATGAACTATAGTACAATTGCAAAGAATTTACTCTGTTAATGATTTACTCTCTTACTTCTCTTAATGACGGCTCCTTAATGGTAAAGAGTGTCATTTGAAGTTGATATTAGGAAAAATAAAAGACTTTTGAATACAAAGATTATAAATTCAATTTCAAAAATTGAACTTGCTTTTTAATCAATATATTATATAATCAATAACCAAAATCAATATATTAATCAATATATCAATATATATTCAATATATATTCTCTTTCTATTTCACAGTTGATATTTTAAACACTCTTGATAACCAAAGCATAGATATTAATGGAGCATCCACAGCACAAACAGAACCACAAATAAACGCAGTGTTAACAGCTTTAATGAACGCATCATCTCCAAGTTCCCCAACCCATATGCAGTCACCGGTGTTTACACAAGGATCACAACAAAATCTACAATACAAATCCGCACCAAAACCATTCATTAATATTGTGGAACAACCAGCTACAAAGCCACTTAAATTTCGTTATAAAAGTGAATGTGAGGGACGTTCGGCCGGTTCTATACCTGGCCTGAATTCTACACCCGAAAATAAAACGTATCCCACTATTGAAATAGTGGGATATAAAGGTGATGTTGTCATAGTTGTATCATGTGTTACAAAGGATCCGCCATATAGACAACATCCACATTATTTGGTGGGCAAAGATGGTTGCAAAGATGGTATATGTACCCTTGTCTTAAGCGGCGAACCTCTGCAAGCAGTTTTCTCTAATTTAGGTATACAATGTGTGAAGAAAAATGACATCAAAGCTGCATTGGAAGTACGTGAGCGTCTACAAGTGGATCCATTTAAAAGTGAGTAATTTTAAAGAATTATAAGCTATCTATGGTATATTAACGTCTCACATTCTTTAGCGAAATTCGGACACAAAGATCAACCGGCGAGCATAGATTTAAATGTGGTACGTTTGTGTTTTCAGGCTTTTTTAAAAACTGAGTCAGGTGTGAAACCATTACAACCTGTTGTATCGGAACCAGTTTTTGATAAGAAAGCTATGTCAGACCTCGTCATTTGTAGACTTTGTTGCTGTTCAGCAAAAGTAGGTGGCGGTGATGAAATTATTTTGTTATGCGAGAAGATTGCCAAAAATGATATTAAGACTATTAAAATAAGATTTTATGAGCTCAATAATGACAATCAACTTGTATGGGAAGATTTTGCTAAATTTCGGCCAGCAGATATACACAAACAGACAGCTATTACATTTAAAACTCCACCTTATCACAATCAAGACGTATTAGAGAAAGCAAAGGTAACTGAAAACGTTAATATTTTGTACTCTTTGCATTAACTATATATTTTATTTTTAGGTTTTTATTCAATTGGTGCGGCCGTCTGATGGAGTTCAAAGTGAATCTATACCATTCGAGTACCACCCAGATCCAGGTATGCGTACTTTTACGCGTCTGCGCCGTAAACTTAATTTTTCAGCAGATATTTTCAAATACTCCTGGACTTAGTCCACAGAATAGTACAAACGCCAATAAAGGTAGCAAGCCGGTGGGACGAAGTGTGAGCAGCGTATCTGGGAAACGACCGGCACATCTTAATGCTGATGTCATACATATACCACTCAAAGGCGATAGCGCAAGTAGCTTGCCACAGCAGGAAGCCTACTCTAATGCTAGTACCATAACGTTTGGTCATCAACTTGATCGTAAAACAATAAGTGCACTACAATTGGCAGACATACCAATTAATGATGGAAACATTGAATTGGTAGCCATTGCTGATCGCCAGAGCATTAAGAATCTGTGCGAGGGCGCTTATGGGGTTGTCCTTGATCCTGATGTTGATTTGTCAGAGGCAGAACATTTCGCATTATATACAAGCGTGCCGCCCGTTCCCTCAAATGCAAGTGATTGTATCGATCATTTAAACTATCAAGAACAAATCGAAAGTGGTCAACTGTTGTCGGTAAATGAGATAGCGCGACGGTTGGCGGAAGCTAATGGTCTGCAGTGAAGAGTTGATCGACATATAAAAAATACATATAGAAAAATCATTAATAATAGCTACAGGCAATAATAACTACGACTCTTTCCTGCTTTTAAAAACTGTTAAACTGTCATTAAACAAGCGAACGAAATTCTGAAAATTTCTCCTTTTATAGATTTATTTTATATTAAATTATGTTTATATATCTTTTTTTACCTACATATGTTTTCAATATTCTTATTTATGTTATTTGATATAGCAATTGTTTTTTATTTTAAATTTTGCGAATTTTTATTTTATGCTTCTTTAACATTTTTAGATCAGATCAAGCGTAAACGTCTTAAGACTGGCGGAAACCCAATGAATATTCTTAGAAGAGAATTACAGAAATATGAGAAACAGCAAAATGCTCAATTTCAAAATGATATTAAAGATATTTGTAAGTTTTTCCCTTTTTATTTTTCTTTCATTTACTTTTGTACCCTACATCCTACCAAACAAGTAGATCATTTGAATTTCATTTAATTCACATTCGCTCTATGAATTATAAACATTTTAATGATGGGAACTGCATTTTACACTTCACTACTATCCATTGGAACATAGTATATATAATACAATACAGTTACGTACATATAAAACCATATACAGTATATGGGCTCCCATATACAAGGATCTGGGTTCTCATTTATTTGCAAGGTCGTTAACTCAAACACAAATTATATCCACACAAGTGATTTTTCTATAGGTATATCCAATATAAATAATTATCGGTACGGAAATCGATATCAATTTTGTACGAGTAAAATAATAATTATGTTTTTGAATATATATCCTTTTAT